AGGGACCACTGAGAAGCGTCCGGAGCCAGCCAGCAGCGGTCCGAATGCACCAGTTGTAAAATCGGAGGACCTGTCGTCACTGGTGGAGGTTATTACAAAGTCCATCAGTCAAGCCTTAGTAGCCGCTGTCCAACAGAACGCTGCGATGGCTCCTGCGACGTCCAACAGACCTGCCCCCCTGAATTATAACTGCATCTACTGTGGGGAGCACGAACATTCGATCAGGAGATGTCCCAAGGTCGAGGAGGATATTAGGGCCGGTCGGTGCAAGCGGAACGCGGAGGGACAAGTGGTCCTGCCAGGCGGAGCGATGGTCTCGAGGTCCGTACCAGGAGCGACGATGAGGGACCGCATTTTAGAATGGCATCGCCAGAACCCCGGGCAGACAAGCGTCCATTTATTGGACACAATGCTATGGGAGGAGGTGCAAGCGTCGGCGGCACCACAGACCACAGATATGTTCCATTTGGACCAGCGGGAGCGAATTGAGGCCTTGGAGCGGGAATTATTTGCGTTGAGAGGGAAAGGGAAGCAGGTGTTTGACGGAGTCTACGTTCCTCCTCCGAATAGGTCTTCCAACCCCTCCAAGGAGTCCGGAGTTGGTCCGACAGGTCCCGCACCCTCTAGAGCCAAGCGTCAACCGGTACGAGAACAGCCAGTGGCCGAAGCAGTGCGGCCGGCAATAAATCGAGAGTCCCCACCTCACATGTCAGAGGGACCAATCCATCCATTCGCCGGTGCAAAGGACGTCAACAGGCCTAGGCAGGCAATTCCCCGGAGTGTCGAGAAAGGCTCGGCTCAAGCAGCAGACGCGTCACAAGCCAAGGAGCCAGCCTACCGCACCCAGGCCCCTGTTTATAATCCTCGCATCTCGGATCTGGTGTTCGAGCGATCGCTCAAGACTCCGAATATTTCCCTGACCTCTGAGGAATTATTATCCATCGCTCCGGAGGTCCGCGCGAAATATAGGGACATTGTGACACCCAAGAAAGTGCCCGTGTCGCCCGCCGTTCGACTCCAAGCCACTATACAGGAAGTGCAGGATGAAGACGATGGTCCGGAGTTGCCAGACATGGAGCAATTAATTCACAGCGGTAGTTCAATCCGTCCTGGAGTGCTGGTGGTACCCGACCCCTACGAGATTTATCTCCGGAGTCTAGGTCCGGGGGAGACGCCGAAGCAGTTGGTTGTGGCCAAGGAGTCACATGCTCTGCGTTCCATTATGGGGCTCATAGACAACCAGGAGAAGGTCGAGGCAATTTTAGATCCAGGATCCCAAATCGTCGCAATGTCAGAAGCAGTTTGCCATTCTCTAGGACTTCAGTACGATCCCACCATTCAGCTCCAGATGCAGTCGGCGAACAAAACGATCGATATGTCGTTGGGACTGGCGCATAATATTCCCTTCCAGGTCGGAGATATTACCATTTACCTCCAGATCCATGTTATTAGGGATCCGGCCTACGACATTTTACTGGGGCGTCCCTTTGATGTATTGACGGAAAGTTGCATCAAGAATTTTAAGAATGAGGATCAGACGATCACCATCAACGACCCCAACTCCGGAATTATTTCCACCATTCCGACCTTCCCAAGAGGTCGCCCTCGATTTCGAGGCCCCGCCTCTAGAGCGGGATGATTTATTTTTAGGCGACTCAGACGAGGAGCAGTGGGCGGCCCTTGTCATCGAAGAGACAGATACCCCCACCCGGTTTCAGATTTCTGCGTTCCATATTTTAGGTGATCAAGAAAATAGCAAAACCTCAATACAAGATTCCATTCCTTTCCTTTATCTTTCCGCCTGCGAGTCTCCAGTGGTCCGGTCTTATTTTTCATCCGTTAAATTATTCAGTGGTGTACCGAATTCGCCAGTTCCGATTTTTGCTGCCACAAAGAAAAAGTATAAGCCAGTCGCCAAGAAGGTCCGAGTGGTGCCTGCGACGCTGCCCAAGAAATATAGGATCCAACGTACTATTGTAGGAGACCCACTGGCCGACATGCCAATTTTATCCCCAATTCCCCCTTCCTTCCAGCCAACCGGACAATATTCACAAGAGCGTAGTGATGCGCTACACAAGGCCCATCCTAGCAGATTCCTTACGGATGCGGAGTTAAATCTAAGGGACGAGTTTCTGTGCAAGCACAACCAGGTGTTTGCCTGGAATGACTCGGAGCATGGCCGATTTTGCAAGGACTTCTTTCCTCCCATTGAATACCCAGGTACCTCGGACCACTTATTACAGTGTCCAGGAACCGTGGCGGAGCTTATATCCTCGCTGAACTCAATGGTACGCTCTTCGATCGACCCTTTGCTGCGTTCCGCGTCATTCCCTACCTCGCAAGAAAATCTATTACGCTCCCGGAGGATTTTACAGATGTCAGCATGGATCAAGTATGAAGGATGGAAGAACAGGACGACCATGGGGACAATGAAGCAGACCAAGATCCTCAAGACAAAGCGAACTGAGGACAGTTCAGATTTCAGTCAGGGGGAGGGAAGCGATGGGCCCCATATACCCAAGCATTTTCGCATTTTTCGAGTTCTTCGCATTTGTTTCACTCACTTTATTTTGCTCCGCTTCTTGATTCGTGCTTTAGTTAGGACGCACATAAAACACAAATATCTCCCATCACTCCATCGGACAGTTCGCAAGCTATGTGACCATTTCTATCATTTTATTCGATCCTCTACTCTGCGCACCATTTAAGCGCTCTCCCATTCATTTATTTTATATTATAGAACGGACCCTCTTTGTTTATCTCATGATTTCACCCTCCTTATTCTGAGCGGACAATATTTATTGCGGATATATTATACAGGACGAAGGACCACAGACAAGGCAACCGGAGCACAATACGAGTACGTGACGAAGGCGACGGCGGCACAGGGACGGCCCCTTACATGGTACATGGAGCAGACGATGAAGACAAGGGAAACGAAAAAGGTCCGCATTTAGGAGGAAGGGCTCGGAGCACGACCCCGTACCTCTCCCTCACTGTCCAGAGTCTTCTCCGCCTCGCGCGACTCCTCAGAAGCCTGCTGGTCCATCAGCCGCTCGATATTCACGAGATGG